GTGCACTTCTTCGGATTGAGCCGGAGGTTGTATCTCTTCATGATCTCGAAGATGCCCCGGAGGTCGTCGGCATGAGTTGTGGATTGTTTGCTCTTGACGATCATATCGTCGACGTATGCTTCCATCGTCCGACCTAAGACTGCTCTAAAAATCCGGGCTACCATCCTTGTGTAGGTGGCGCCGGAGTTCTTGAGCCCAAAGGCCATGACGAGGTAGCAAAAAATTCCCTCCGGGGTCATAAAAGCAGTCTTCTCCGCGTCATCTTCGTGCATGGATATCTGGTGGTACCCTCTGAACGCGTCGAGGAACGACATCAACTCGCACCCCGCCGTCTCATCCACCAACTGATCAATGTTGGGGAGAGGGAATGGGTCCATTGGGCATGCCTTGTTCAGGTCAGTGTAATCAACACACATTCTGAACGTAGGCGGCTTTGGGGCGAGGACGACGTTCGCCAACCACGTGGGGTACTTCACCTCTTTGATGTGCTTGATGGAGAGCAGCATGGCTACCTCGGCCTTGACGAATTCCCTCCTGTCGGCTGAGAGGTAGCGCTTCTTCTGCTTGATGGGGGAGGAGGCCGGGTTCACCGATAGCCGATGTGTGATTACCTTCGGGCTGATGCCCGGCATGTCCTCTGGTCCCCATGCGAAGACGATGGCGTACGCTCTCAGGACGGAGAGGATGTCCCTTCGGATCTGTTGGGGGAGCTGTGTCCCAATCTTCAGCGTGCGTTCCGGCCGGGAGACGTCCAACGGAACGTCTTCCACGTCCCCGACTGGTTCAGCCTTTGGTGTGTCTTCTTCGGCCGAGGCGGTGGTGATAGTGTCTATCCGCTCCTCGGCCTCATTAATCTTTCTTGTGAGCTTCAGGTAGCAAGCCCTGGCTATCTTCTGGTTCCCTCTGGCGTAGCCGACGCCGTCCTTGGTGGGGAACTTGAGGCATAGATGTCTCATGGAGATGATGGCCTCAAGGTCCTCCAAGGCCGGTCGTCCCCAGATCATGTTGTGGGCGCTGTCCAGGTTGACAACCACGAACTCCATGTCAATCTTCGCCTGACAGGTACCGTCACCGACCACAACGGGAAGCACTATCGTGCCCTCGGCGTCGATAGAGTCCCCGGTGAAGCCGGATAACGGAGTCCGTATCGGCCGGAGCTCGGACTTCTTCAACTTCAGTTGCCTGAAGGTGTCGACGTACATCACATTGACAGAGCTGCCAGTGTCGATGTAGTTGCGGTGGATGATGTTGTTGCCTATCTCGCATTTGATGACGAGGGCGTCCCTGTGGGGCAAGGGGCCGAAGGGGAGGTCCTTGTCGGTGAAGGTGATGGCTTCCACATGCCGCCGCTTCGGCTGAGGGGGGGCGTGGGTCACCTCACCAACGTATAGGGACTGAGCCCATTTTTTCCGTTGGGTAGCCGAGTCCCCCCCTGTGTTCCCGCCGACGATGATGTGAATGTGATGCTTCTTCTGGCGGGGCTCCTCTTCGTCCTCATCTTCACTGAGGGCGCCGATCTCCCTCTTTTTCCCGGAGGATCCTTCCCCCCTTTTGCCAGGGTTAACCCAAGTGTTATTCCTGGGGGCACCCTTGACAAATTGGGAAAGTTCCCCCTGTCGGATGAGGCCGTCGATGTGCCTCTTCAAGGTGGTGCAATCCTCGGTCTTGTGGGATGTCTGGCGGTGGTACTTGCAGTATGTCCCTCCTTTGTGGACCGCAAATATCTCCTCCTCTGACCTGGGGTCCTTCACAATGAGGCCCTGCGCCTCGGCGTGGTCGAGGACGACGCTCACCGGGTGGGTGAGGGGGATGCGCTGTGCCTCCAACTTTGGGCGCCATGAACGGTCCTCTCTTCGCTGTCCGCCTTGCTCCTGGTGTGCCCTCTTTGGTTGGTGTTGTCCCTTGTTGGCCGGCGGGTGGTGGGGGTTGGACGAGGAGTCCTTCTTTTGTTGCTTCTCCCCACCCTTCTTCTGGTTCAGGAGCTCGTCGGCATCAGCGTGCCTATCTCCGCGTCGGAGCGCCGCGAGGTATGACCGCGGCGGCTCCGTGAACAGGCTCCGGGCGAAGTGGCTAGGCCGGAGTGCTCCGCGGAGGAAAGCCAAGAGAGTGCGTTCGTCGGCCCCTTCACATTCGTCCGCCTCCCTCGTCCAGCGATCGAGGAAGGCTCGGAGTGTCTCCTCCGATTGTTGTTTGATGGTCAGGAGGTGGGCGAAATGCTTCTTCGCACGCTTCCTCCCGGCAAAGTGGGTGAGGAAGCGCTGAGCAAGGTCCTGCCATGAGTCGATGCTTCCTTCCGGAAGGTTGTTGAACCAATCATACGCTGGCCCTTCCAAGGTGGAAAGGAACCAGCGACACATGTATTCCTCCGAAGCGTTCGTCATCATCATATTATTCTGATAGCGGGTGAAGTGCTCCTGAGGATCAGTGCGGCCGTCATATGGCTTGATCGGATTCCCCTTGTACTTCTCTGGGATGGGAGCGGAGAGCACTCTCGCAGAGAAGGGGGTCCGGGTCCGTATTTGGATGACGGGCTCGTCGCGTCGGTCGGCCAGCTCCCTTTCCAAGGCACTGACTTTGTGCAGGAGTGCATCGTAGTTGGGATGCTGGGATGTATGAGCCGACGCGCGCCCTGCGGCCTCTCGGGCCTCCATATCAGCGAGGCGCTTTTCCAGGCGGGCGATGATCTCGTCCCTTGGGTCCGTGTTGGCCGCAGCGCCACCCAGAGGGGTCTGGATCCGGGCCGCGTGGGCCAGGTTGATCTGATGGCGCGCATCATTATCATTCAGTTTTCCCTTTCCTTTGTCTGGTCGGGGCCGATCCGTTGTCCGGGAAACGGACCCGAAGCTTTCCTTTGGCGACCCCGGCTCGCGGCCACCCAACCGACCCGCCACCCCTCCCGTAGGTACCCGACGGCTCGCGATGTCACCCAGCCTGTTGAAGGCTGAGATTTTACCGCGAGGTTGGGCCGGTGTATCCCGGGTAGGTGAGGCAGTGTGGGAATGGGTGTCCACGGCGAGGACGTCCTCGTTGTCACCGAAGAAGGTGACGCCTTGCGGACGAGGTGGCGGTGGTGGCACCGTTGCGACCTCTCCAGTTGCCGGAGTGTTGTTCTCCCCTGTCTTTGCGACGAGAGCGCTGACCACGTTGGGGTCCTGGAGAATGCTCGCGACGATGGCCGATAGTGCGGCCGGGTTGATCTGGGGGGCAGCAGGGTGAGAAGTCTGCTGGCCCGAAGCGCGATCAGCATTGCGCCTGTCCTCGAGCCCGATGCGGGCGTCTGGGGCAGTCTTGTTGAGCTGGACGCGGAGGTCAGCCGCTGCGTGCTCGACCTCCTGAGCATTCTCATCCTGGATGATGAGATCATTGGGGACGTTGTCAGCAACGTTTCCCTGCCCCTCCTGGTTCAGAGGGGCATTCCTACCAGTGTTCTTTGATCTAGTCCTTGTCATAGCTAGTGGTAGTGTCTGGTAGCGACGAAGGGTACTCACTTGATCTGTTCTAAGCTCTCAATGAAAGCACCAAATGATAGCGTATTAATCCTAGAGAGAAGTGAGAGCTAGAGAGAGAAAGTGAGTAATTATATTTCTCCAATTGGAAAGAATCCCCTATAATTAGCCCCTTGGGGTCTATTTATAGGTAAAAATGTAGATTTGGGCCCCTAGCCTTGGGCTTAGGAGGCCCATCACAATAATCATGCCTTCTTTGGGCGAATAAGGCCACTAATGGGCTGAGTACAACACTTAGTACAAAAAATAGGAAAATGCATTCTGCCCGGACGAAGTTCGGACGATGCGGTCCATGGACGATGCGGTCCATGGACGATGCGGTCCATGGACGATGCGGTCCATGGACGATGCGGTCCATGGACGATGCGGTCCATGGACGGCGCGGTCCACTGACGATGCGGTCCATAGAAATCAGGCGATATCTTCTCTCTTGGGCGTCACGTGCCTACGGCCGATGCGGGTGTCACGCTGGTGTCTTTTGGGCCGTTGAGTATGTGGGCCATGGGGTCCAAGCCCATATACTCTATCACATGTCACCGTCACCTTCAACAAAAAATCCAACGACTTTTTCTGGTGACTTTTCCAACGACATTGTGACTATCCCACCCAGCCCCAACCGCGTGCGTCTAACGGTGATGTTTAGGCTAAAAGCAACATCAACATCTTTTGGCCACCTGCCGCCGCCGCACAAACTCCAGCTGCCGTCGTAACAATCAGGCCGCCACCACCCCCCCTCTCATGTCCCCTCCCTAGCTTCCCTTGCCAAAATCCCATCCCAGCCCCGTGAGAAACTGAGAAACCCTAGCCGTCGCAATCCCGACCACCCTGCCAGCCATCTTTCTAAGTTCTAACCCCCTCACCTTACCGGCCAACCCCCCCTCTAGTAACATCATCGGACTCTCAACCTCACTCCCCCGCGCTAGAAGGAAGCGTATATGGTACCACCAGTTGTACGGTGCTCACCGTACAGCCGGTGGCATTTTTGTAATTTATATGAAATTCGCGTCTCGTACTAAATGAGTATTAAACCACGCCTAGTGAGCAAGTGACATATTTTGTTGAGCATTAGAAGCATAACATTGAGCATCGTGATCTCTGCTTCATCTCTTCGAATTTACTTTCTTTTCCTTATTTTTTTTCTTTAAAAAAACTTATTAATTTATATCTATAATCAACTCTTATGAACTCCAGTATGCGAATTTAATGCAATATGATACTTTTGAAATATACATTGTTATGTCATATTACAAATGAGCATAACATGAATACCCGTTGAGCATACATAACTTATAAAATGAGAATTGATATGAAAATCATAAGTACTTTTAATTGAACATCAAGACATTTTTATTGAGCATCAACTTGAAAAGTATCGCCAATGATTTTCATTATGCGATTGTGATGAACATTGAGTCTGTTCTTTTTAAATGAGCATAAAATAACACCAAATGAGCATATGTAACTTACAAAATGAGTATCAAAAGATTTAAAAGTCCATTTGTGTATGCTCATTCATTTTGACCTTATACTCATTTGAGTTTAACATTAATATGATACGTTTGAAACGAGTATAAAGAGGTACCAAATGAGCATACATAAATCACAAAATGAGTATAAAAAATTCAAAAGATCATTTGTGTATGCTCATTCATTTTCGGTTGTATACTCATTTGAGTTTTACATAAAACTCATTTTTAATATGCTCGATATTTATTTGTGTATGTTCATTCTTTTTAAGCTTATACTCATTTGAGTTAAATATAAACTCATTTCAGATTCGTCATCAAGAAATATGAACTCAAATCTTCTAAATCATCTTCCAATTTGTCTTCCCTGCATACTTCTTCCCGACCAACAAAGAAATCACCTAGAGCCGCCGTCTCTTGCGTAGCTCTGCTAGAGGAGAAGAGAGTGGCTAGAGGAGAGCTTGAGGAGAAGAGAGATGTCAGAGGAGTTGCCTGCTTGGAGCTTGAAGTTCTTCGCAAGCACCGCAGAAGCAGGACGAAGCAGGGACGGAGATCGGAGAAGCCAGGTGAGAAGCAGGGAAGAAGATCGAAGAAGCGCAGAAGTCCTAAAAAAGACCGGCTGTACCGTGCGCACGGTACAGCCGGCTGTACGGTGTATTTTACCGCGCTAGAAGGGATGTCAGGAGATTGATGGCCATCACTGCACTTGGAGGATGCTGAGAGATCAATCGGCCATCGTTGTGCTTCAGTATGGATGCTCCCTTTATGGGTTGGTCTCCAAATCTGTTTTAAATAGTGGTCACTTTTTTGGAAAATGAAAAAAGGTAATAATTTCAGAATTGGGAAGTGCAATGGTAATATAGTTTTTCTTAGAGAAAATTACCCTATAGACGACTAAAGGAGTGTTTGCAAAAAAAAAACTAAAAAAAAAACGCTTCACAGCTTTTGGATTTAAAAAGGCTGAAATTGGTGTTTTTAAGTGATAACTTCTGCTCAAATTAATCACTTAAAAGCTAAAAGTTGGAAGCAGATTGGGGGTGCTTTAAATTTCTTTTCACTTTTTCTATTTCACAGAAAACACTTATTTTATCAAACACTACTAGCTTTCACTTTTACAGAATCACTTTTTTTAAGCACTGCCAACTTTTACTATTAACCGTTTTTTTCAAAATCACTTTAAAAAATCGCCTTTTTAAGTAGAAGCAATCCCAAACACCTTCTAAATCTAATCCACTTCCCAATCTATGACCTCATTAATTTTTCCCCAAAATAATATTTAGAGTTGCAGTAATAATTAATCAATCAATAAATAAATAAATAAATAAATAAATTTTATGAACTAATATGCCCTTAAATTGATATTGGGCTTGTTTGGCAATCAACGATTAGCGGTTAGCGGATTATGTTGGCGGGATGTAAATAGCGGATTGAGTCAGCGGATTTGACCAGCGGATTAAATTGGTGGGTCGCAGGAAGATGTTTGGTAACTTAGCTGCTTTATTTTAGCGGTTAGTAGATAAAAAGACAAAAAAGGACATTAATCCAATTTTGTGTATATAGATAGCCAAACTGAAATCGGGCAATAAAACCCAATACTTATTATATTTATAATAATCGTGAGTATTTGATGCACAAAAACCATACATCCCAACTCATCCACACAAACGGAGAAAATAATCAGTATACAATTACAATAGCTTAGTGAAAACGAAGAGCAATTTACCTATTAGAACTCAAACACGACAACGACAGTAAGAATAGAATGGCCCGCACAGAGTATTTATAGAGCTCTTCCATGAGCATCAAAGTCAGGCACATCTTGACGGAGAAGATGACCTTTAATTTCTCGGGTTGGATCGACCTGTCTGCGTGACAAAGCTAAGGAAGAGATTTTGTTTAAAAGAGGGAAGGTCTGCAGAAGCTTGGGATAATTTTCCTGAAGAAGAACGGGAAGGTGCGAAAGTGGAGAATAGGGAGGGTAAGATCGAAAATTAATTGCGTGTGTAGAACCCGCTGATCTTAACCGCTGCACTTTGCACCGTTTCGTTTTTTAGCAGTTCAGGTGAAAACGCCGGATGAGAAGGCCATCTACCAAACACCTAAGTCTAGCGTTTTGACAGATAGAAAACTCTAAATTTGGTCAAACCCGCCAAAAATTGGCTGAAACGCCATTTACCAAACATGGCCATTATGAAACTTTAACTTCCTATTCATTTTCTAACATACATGGTCATAAGCCTGTCGCAGCGGCATCCGCGCCCGCTGCCTCCATGCCGCGCCGCTGCCAAGGTGACACCTTATTATTATTATTATTATTATTATTATTATTATTATTATTATTATTATTATTATTATTATTATTATTATTATTATTATTATTATTATTATTATTATTATTATTATTATTATTATTATTATTATTATTATTATTATTATTATTATTATTATTATTATTATTATTATTATTATTATTATTATTATTATTATTATTATTATTATTATTATTATTATTATTATTATTATTATTATTATTATTATTATTATTATTATTATTATTATTATTATTATTATTATTATTATTATTATTATTATTATTATTATTATTATTATTATTATTATTATTATTATTATTATTATTATTATTATTATTATTATTATTATTATTATTATTATTATTATTATTATTATTATTATTATTATTATTATTATTATTATTATTATTATTATTATTATTATTATTATTATTATTATTATTATTATTATTATTATTATTATTATTATTATTATTATTATTATTATTATTATTATTATTATTATTATTATTATTATTATTATTATTATTATTATTATTATTATTATTATTATTATTATTATTATTATTATTATTATTGTTATTGTTATTATTATTATTATTATTAATGAAATTAGGGTTTGTGATTTTGGGTTTGTGAACATGGGCATTGAACATAGACACTGAAAATGACAATATATAGTGTTGAATATGAGCAATTAGCATGACATGAGATAGTGTTGTACATGAGCAGTGAATGAATGCATTGATGATTTTTCTTGTGCAGCAAATCGAAGGAAATAGGGCAATAATGACGACACAGAATGTAATATATTTTTGTGGACGTAAAATACTAATTTAAAGTTATTACATTTTAAAATAAATAATAAAAAATAAAGAACTACAAATAAATTCCTAATGTGGATGAGAAGAGAACTAATGTTGGTGGCACATTTAGCAATTCTTACCAAATGTACAACAATGTCGTGCAGTAACTGTAGTATTTTTAATTGGACGAAAATAGTGTAAAATGCACATTTTTTAAATAAGAGTAATTTGGTCATTAAGCATTTTTATATGAACGAACTTTTCTTTTTATTTTTACTTTTTAGTCATACGAATATCTAAAAACATGGGTAGTCATATTTAGGGAAACTCAATATGTTCTAGTTTATCACGGCAAATTCCCTTTTTGTACAACGTCTCCCCTTGTATTAATCTTATGTCTACACAAAAAAAAATCTTATGTCCAGAGTTCATTTATTAAAAAATATTTAATAACATGATTTATTAAAAAACATGATATTAACAAGAAACATACTCCGTAGAAGTCTTAAATTAATTTTATGATTTTAAAGAAAACTAGATTTTCGTGTAACGGCGATCGTCTCCCTCTCTAGGGTTTGCGTTTTTCCCGTTGTCATCTTTGACGAAGAGCGGCGCAAGTGAGTTTTGATGGTAGCGGCTCGGCGGTTTGGGCCTCGGTCGAGCAAAAAGGTGGTAGTGTGTCGGATTGTTTATTTGCGTAGCAAGACCCGGATGCAGAGCGATTCCGAGCAAAGTAAAGGGTGTGAAGCGGGGAGGGGGGTCTCGATTTGATTTAACAAGAAAAGCTGTTCAATGGAGGATATTGTTAATCAGTACAACAATATGACTATGGGAGGGGACAGAGAGGAACTGAATTTCGATGATGATGAAGTCGGAGAGGAAGAGGCGGACTAACGGCGGGCGATATTCCTGGTGGTTGGCAACCTGCTCACTGATCGGAAGATCAAATTTCAGATTTTCAAGGATCTCATGGCCGCACTTTGGCGTCAAGGAAAAGGGGTTTGAATAAAAGAAATTGACGAAAAGAAGTATCGATTCATTTTTACCACATTGTGGACATGAGACGTGTATTAGAAAGTGGCATGTGGTTATTTGAAAGGAATTTGTTGATTCTCAAGGAAGTGAGGCCAGGGGATATTCCTCTTAAGGTTAGCCTAAATGAGGCTGAGAGCCAATTTGATAGAAAGTAGGATGCAGATTAGGATTTGTACGGATTTTGGAAAACCCCTGAAAAGGGAAACAACTCTTAGGAAACTGGGTAGATTTCAAGTACGAACACCTCCCCAACTTTTACTTTATTTGTGGGGTCATTGGCCATTCTGATAAATTTTGTCCTTTGACATATGAGAGGGATAATATGGTGTTAGGGAAAACTTACGGGGTGGAACTTAGAGTTGGGGAGGGGGGAGACTAGTCCTACAGGAGCGAACAAGTAGCTAGTTGAAGGCACGACTAGCACAGGAATGTGGAAGCAACATAAAAGTGTTTTTCAAGGCGGAGTGGAAGCAGGAGGGCAAGGATGGATTGTGACTACGGTGGATCTAGGCAAGAGCACAACTAAGGAAGGAGACTTAGTGAGCACTGAGGAGATGCCGAGAGAGCAGAAGCGCAGAAGGCTCTGGGAGGAGCAGGAACAGGAGGATCCAAATGGAGATAGCATGGCTCGGGAGAATCCAAAAAACGAGAAGGCGGAGGGTCCTGAAATCCAGACCCACCGGAATATATGAAGTATGTCTGCTGGTCGGGAGCACGAGTGGAAATTGTACTCTTGAAGATGAAGCAACATTTTAATTTTATTGTTAACTTGCTATTTATTTTTCATAATCGGACTTTTTATGTTCCCATTGACTATTTTTATTGTTGTAAGACTCTTGCATTAGGATTGGGTGATGGGAAGCTCGCTTTATCCAGTGTTGGCTCAGTTATGAACATTATAGGATCATCTACCTTCATTTTAGTTATATATGCATCATTGTTTCTAACTTTTATCTTTACACATACCTACTTTAGCGCCAATGTTTATTATCAAATGCGAATTTTTGATGGATTATTACAAAAAAGAACTCTAATATTTGAAGACGTGCATATAAGAGAGTAGTCCATAGCGTCAATGGGGAAATCATAGCCGCCACCTCTTCTTTTTTCTATTTTTTTTAATTTCAATCTTTTTTGGCTCCAATCATGAAAAATGTTTTTTTAATCAATACTTTCAATTCTATATTATGGGACGAGCGAGTATATTATATATAATATATGTAGTATATTATATACTACGTATATGAAAAACAAACTACATACGAAGTATATATAATGCTTTGAGTATGAATACTAATTAAATTAAATGTTTTGTTTAGAGAATAAAAGAAAAATGGTCTCCATTGGAGATGAAATACGAATGTAATAGTTTGTGCGTCCACATTAGCTTCATGGACTGTTTATATAGATCAAGTGTGCTTTTTTATGACGTCGAATTCATATCTCTACTGGAGATGTTCTTATTATTGTTTTCTCATCCATTTGTTATGTTTTAGTATTTTACTTATTTTATCTCTAAATTTACTTTTAAAAATTCTATGTTAAATTACATGCACCAGTCAAGCAACATTTCTTTTGGCAGGTGATGGCAAATATTCTTCCAACAATAGATGAGCTGAGAAAACGGAAGGTGGAGATATTGGGTGGTTGTAAGCTATGTAACGAGGAAGACGAGATTGTGACTCATCTTTTTAAGGATTGTTAGGTTGTAGCTGCAATTTGGGAAAATTTTGGGCTTGGCTTCTCACGGCCTGCGTCTTCTTGGCAGGAGGGGGTGGAGAAACTGTTCAGTACTTTGACAGTGGAGAATCTATGCACATTTATTGCTCTCCTGTGGGGCATATGGAAGGAACGTAACGAGATGGTATGAAATAATCAGTGTTTTAATGCTTTACAAGTGATAAATATGGGAGTTTCTGTACTTCTAGGATGGCGGGCTGAACAGGACTTCGTGGGGACAAGTAGAGCAACAACGGTAGTTGAGACCCGTTGGACCAAACGGATCGCTGGAACCATCAAGATCAATGTTCATAGAGACCACAGTAGCGAGTTTATTCGAGGTGGGTGGGAATCTCAAACGGTGGACTGGTCGACAAGCATTCCAGAGGCACTTGGTGTTCGAGCAGCACTCATATGGGCAAGGAATCAAGGATGGAATCAGATTGTGTTAGAGATAGATGCAAACAACTGATCATGACAAGGTTGGAGGAAAGCTCGGGATTTTCTTATTTAGATACTATAATTGATGATATTAGACACATTCTTCAGAAAGATGCTAGGTTTGTTGTCCATTTCTGTATACGATCCGCAAATTATGTGGCCCACAAGCTTGCTAGGGCCGCATTATTCAATGCGGGTAGTGGTTCTTTTGATGTTTTTTTGCCTTGTATTTCGAGCCAGTTGGTGAATGATTATTTGAATTAATATATGAAGTTTCTTCTTTTTAAAAAATGCACTGGTTAAGCTGTTTTAAAAATCCACATACACGCGAGCACACATATACATACATGTATATGTCTCTGTATATGATCAAATAAGTAGATGTTTCATTTATACCATGTGATATCTAGGCATGAAAAGACGTTTTTATTAACG